CCCCCCCCGCCGCCGCCGGGTCCACCGACCACCGGAGCCCCAAACGAACGCCGCCGTCGCTCGCTCTCGTTGGCTGTCGCTCGCTCTCGTTGGCTCTCGCTCGCTCTTGTTGGCAGTGTTGAGCATTAATGTTAATTTGTGGAATTAAAGTGCCTTGTCAGGGAAATACACAATGCAATTCTACGAATAATTTTGTGTTTTGAGAGAGAGAGAGAGAGAGAGAGAGAGAGAGAGAGAGAGAGAGAGAGAGAGAGAGAAAGAGAGAGAGAGGTTGATAGCTCTGGATTTTCCTGATCTATAATCATTATTTACTCTACCCCTGTATTACTTCATCACTGTTATTTTTTGACAGGTCACCCTGTTCTACTTTTCCCTGCTGCCAAGACTTTTAACGCACACGGGAGAAGCGAGAAAAGAAAAGGCCACTCAAAGTAGCAGTGAGTTTCTTGCAGTTACACGGTTAGATTGTTCCAGCGACATGGACCCCTCAGTCCTGCTTTCGAAAAAATGGATTTGATATAGAAACTCATGAAACTAATCATCAAAATAATTTTTCAGTAATATACCAGTTGTACTCTTAAGTACTTTAAAAACTTAGATTGGAGCAGACGTGTGCTCAATTTCAGCATGACGTCTCTTATCCACTGGTGAAAGGACACTTCGATCCTCTCCTCTTTCATCTATAACTGCTTCAAACAACAAAGTGTATGCAGGAAAGGTGATTAAGATTGCACGACTGTCTGTGTCTTATGTGTTGTGTTATGTTATATTTTTATTTTGACTTCAAAATGGCGCTGCGAGAGTGGCTGCTTTTCCAGCAGCTCCTATTTTTTGTTCTTCTACTTCTTCCTTTCATAACGTTGCTGCTGTGAATTGGGAATTTCTCCATTGCGAGACTAATAAAGAATTTCTTATCTTATTAAAGAAAAATATTTATACCACTTTTTATTGATATGTAAATCTTTAGCTGTTAAGGAATAATTGTAAAAAAGTAAATAACACTTGTATGGCTTGGTTGCACCAACAAGGGTTTAATTTAATTAAAGATTGTCTTTGATCAAAGATTTTAAAACCACAACTCAAAACCCAATACAAACCAACTCTAATGAACAGTCCAAAAGTATGGTAACCCCAATGACAATACTCCATTTTCTAATTCATGACAACAACAAAACTTTTCAATGCAGTCAAGGAAAATAAAAGTACAAAAACTACAATCAGCCTTGGTGAAGCCTGATCAGATCAGGGGTGAAAACTTCATTGATAACTGTTCATGGGGATAAATAAAGTTTCCTGAATCTGAGTCTCATCAACACACTCGTGATTCTTCATCTGAGACGTTCGTGAAAATGTTTGGCCACAAAGTGAGCAGGAGAAAGGTTTCTCACCAGTGTGTGTTCTGGCGTGTGATTTAAAGGTTCCCTTGTGAGAGTATCTTTGGCCACAAACTAAGCAAGCAAAAGGTTTCTCACCAGTGTGGGTTCTTGCATGTGTTATTAAGGCTCCCTTACAACAGAATTTCCGGCCACAGTCTGAACAAGCGAACGGTTTTTCACCAGTGTGGATTCTCATATGTCTTTTGAAAGGACTTTTATAAGGAAACGTCTTTCCACACCAAAGACATTTCCATTTTTTTTTTTGTCAGTGTGACATGTCAGATCACCATCAGACTCTTCATCCTCCTCATCATCATCAACATTATCCTCAACTTTCGATAATGTCTTGTCCCGAACTTTCGTGCAAGGGTGCACTAGCTCCTCCTCTTTTTTAATGTTAAGGGCCTGCTCTCCTCTTCCTCTTTAATGTGAGAGGGCTGTGCATCCAATCGCTCAGGACGAACATCTTTGCTGATGTCTGAAAGACACGATAAGATGAACACACATGGAATTATGGTTTATAACTACAATGAAGGTTGTCAGGAGAGCCAGATGAGTTCAGATTCATGAAGCCTGATCAGATCGGGGTGAAAACTTCATTGATAACTATTCATCTCTTTAACACACTTGTGATTCTTCATCTGAGACATCCGCGAAAATGTTTGGTCACAAAGTGAGCAGGAAAAAAAGTTTCTTACCAGTGTGCGTTCTTGCATGCCTTTTTAAGCTTCCCTTGTGACAGAAGATTTGGCCACAGTCTGAACAGGTGAATGGTTTCTCCCCAGTGTAGGTTCTTATGTGATTTTTAAAGCTTTCCCTCCTAGAGAATCTTTGGCCACAAACTGAACAGGAAAAACGTTTCTCACCAGTGTGTGTTGTTGCATGCCTTTTTAAGTTTTGCATCCAAAAGAATCTTTGGCCACAAACTGAGCAGGAAAAAGGTTTCTCACCAGTATGCATTCTGGCGTGTGATTTTAAGGTTGCCTTCTGAGTGTATTTTTGGCCACAAACTAAGCAAGCAAAAGGTTTCTCACCAGTGTGGGTTCTTGTGTGTGTTTTTAAGGCTCCCTTACAATAAAATTTCCGGCCACAGTCTGAACAGGTGAACGGTTTTTCACCAGTGTGGATTCTCATATGTCTTTTGAAAGGACTCTTATAAGGAAACGTCTTCCCACACCAAAGACATTTCCAGGGTTTTTTGTCAGTGTGACATGTCAGATCACTATCAGACTCTTCATCCTCCTCCTCCTCATCATCATGAACATCATCCTCAACATTCGATGATGTGTTGTCACCATCTTTTGTGCATGGGTGCTCTAGCTCCTCCTCTTTTTTAATATAAAGGGCCTGCTCCTCCTCTTCCTCCTTGAAGTGGGTGACCTCTCTGCTCTTCTCTTCCTCTTTAATTTCTGCATCCAGACGCTCAGGACAAACATCTTTGCTGATGTCTGAAAGACACGGGAAGACAACCACCCATGGAATTATGGTTAATAATTACAATGAAGGTAATCAGGAGAGCCAGATAGATTCAGATTACTATTCACAATGTGACATGAGTAGAGTAACTTGTTGGTGGTGGATTTTTCTATTTGTTTCTTTTTATCCCTGGCAGTGGTTTATTTATAATACTTCGTTTTCTTTTTCTACTTTCTCCCCTCCAATTTTGCTGCTGTAGATTGCGAATTTCTCCAGTGTGCGACAAAACAAAAAGGTTTTATCTTAATTTTTTTTTTATCCTTGGTTGTTTGTGGAAAGACTTGTACAGAGTCTGACATGGCAGATTTTTGAGTGGTGGATAAGTCCTAAAAAATTCCACCCTGGATTGCCAGCCCCTCAGCATTGTGGAGTGTGAAGGGTTCAAGGAATTGATTCAGGTCCTTGAACCCCCATATGTTTGGCCAACAAGAAAGGCTTGTGTGGAAGTGACAAAGCTTTTGTTGATACGGGTAGTGCTGTCAAGCGATTGAAAAAATTGTGAGATTAATCAATTATGATCTGTAAATAATTGATCTAATTAATCTATTTTTTAATCTCATCCAAAAATTGCTGAGAAAAGCCCTGTTTTCATTTAAAATTCATTACATTATTGAGGCAGTCAAAAAGTGGCATTATAAAGTATTTTATTCTTTTTCAAAAGACTTGGACAGATGCCGTCCTGGCCATTTACTTTCAGCTGAATTTGAGACTTGTCCCAAGTACAACCTTTAGTTTCGACCACGAGGGGGAATATCACTGTTTTGTTTGTTTTTGTAAATCTCCAAAGAATTACAAAATTAAAATATAATTGAACATCAGGTCCTTAAAAAGTGCTTCGGTTAACATCAAAAACAGGAAGAACAATTTTCTGAGCAATATAAGTACTCAAAACTGAACTTGCTTCAGTTAATAGACAATAAATAAAACAGACCCTTAAATCACAGTGCTGTAAGTTAGCACTTCAGAAATAATACTGTTCATCATGACAAACTAAAAGAGCTGAAATAAACATCAATCACTTCTAGTAGTCTACAGAGGACACAGCAGCAATGCTGACTTCATGCCTCGTACGCGGGGTGTTCTCCTTGAGCGTAGTTTGGCTATAGTTTGCAATACAGTAAATATTCTCCAGTACGAACTCGTGTTTGCGCTGTCCAATTTGTCCTGATAACAGAAATTCCTCATTTGGGAAATGAGCATGGTACATGTCTGGCAGAGATTTTCTCGGACAAAGTTAAAGAAATGACTCGGCACACAGGGAAAATTGTCTTCAATATCGGCGGGAGGGGATCTCTGAGAGCCAACGACGGTTCAGTTGCTCCGATGATCACACTCTCGAGCTCCCTTCCCGCCAATTCCGACTTTTATTGTAACATACAAGGAAAACACTGCCCCCGACATTTGCATACCGCACCCCCGGTCCGGCCCCTCGGTAGTGATTGGTTACCTGAGTTTAAGCTTTGAACCACCAATACATTGGCGCCTTTCTGTCTGGTCTACACTGTATCAACATGTTGCAGACTTCGCGGACGACAAATGTCGCCTGGGCGCGACGGGTGTTCTCAACTCGTCTTTTGTTGTTCAACCGCTGTTCCCAAATTATTCATTCCCCTTTTGTGACCGAGTTTCGCCCCCTCCCCTGTGATTGCCCACCTGCATTGACGTGCTAATTGTGGACTTCAACAGCCCTCCGGCCAGGTGGGCATTTGGAGGTGCTGGATACGCACCCAAACGTTTAGATGTGCCCAAATTAAATGAAACTTTAAACATGATACAATTTTGCTCATA